AAGCCGGGCAGACGAGGTGCTTAGGGCCAGGGTTTAGTGGTGGGATGGCAGGGTTAGGGGAACGGTTGGGCTTGGTGATCTTAAAGGTCTTTTCCAACCTAAATGATTCTGTGATTGTAATAAATTAATCCCAGTGACATTTCTCCTAAGTGAAGGGGCGTGTGTGTGTGTTCAAAAGCAAGTCAGTACTGGTTTGTTTTTTTTTTTTTTGGGGGGGGGGGGGAAGAAAAACAACACCTCAGGAGCATTCAAAAAATCCTGTCATTAATACCAAATACAAGTTTATCGTCAGAGAAGAGGCCGCCTTCTTATGGCCTCCACAGCAAAAGGTCTTGCATATTAGAATGACTATTAAAATAAAGCATCCCAGCAGAGTAAAAATGGTGTAGCAAGACAAATCCACCCTGGAGAATGTGGTCTCAACCTTTAATCCATTACTGAGGCTATGTATTTCTGAAGTTGCTTGTATTGCAGCTGACCCCAAAATGCAGTTTCTTCAGCATGACTTCAGCACTTTATCTTCAATAGGCTTTTCTCTTTGTGCCAAAGACGGAATTTTAACTTTTAATGTTCTTCCATGGTGGTGGTGAGTAGGTGAAGCTGAATTCCTGAAAAAAAAGGGACTGGAGGGAGTGACGCTGTATTAAGCAATTAGAATTAAACTGGTCAAAACGTAGCATTGACTGTGGGCTGGGATTATTTTGTCTGACATCGAGATATTTACCTCGAGCTTTTGGTATTTATTCCAAACATTACCTTCAATTAAAGCCGACATGAGCACTATTTTTATTTCAACGGTCCCAGGCTAATGCAACCTTCATTTAGGGACTTCATTTTGCTTGAAGTTACATGACTCTCAGCCAGATCATACCCACACCTCCATGGAGTACTTCAAACTCAGAGAAGCATCCTACCAACATCCACCAGGTTTTTATAAAAAAAAATATTTTAAAAAAATCCCTACCAAAGCTGGTTTTTGTGCACGAGCCCCATCTAAAGCCCTTTTAGCTTGGGTCCCCAGCCTGAAACCAGCATTTTTTTACAAAGTTCTCTAAACTAGAAAAGTCTAGGAGAAAATAAACTAATTGTAGTAAAAAATTTAGTTTGAAAGCATATAGAATTAAGGCACAGTTACCTACAATTTTATTGCTAGAGGAAAGGAGACTGTGGCCCCACATTTTCAGACTACCAGATCAGTTTAACAGCATTTAAATTAATTCATTTAATAGGCTTGTAAAAGCCTTTTTTTTTTTTTTTAAGCTGACTGCATTGAACATTTTTCATAATTCAGAAGCAAGGAGCAGTGTAGCTCCACATGTAGAGTCCAGTGCCCTCACCCCATGAACAGCTTGTGATTTGTTCTTGAACTGGATCAAGTGTGTCAGTTTTTAACAGCTCATTAGTAAGCTGGTACTGGTTCTTAGTCAAATAATTCAGTGATTTAAGTTGTTGCAAGTTACCACACAGCTGTCCTTAGATTCTTGGTACCCACAGCTGAGACAGCCCAAAAAGCGCAACAGAAGAAAAGTGGGAAACAACCTTATAACTTATCACAGAGCCAGAAGGAAGAGTTGTCTTTGTGCTTGGGGGAACTGGGAACGTGGTAGGGAAAAAGAATGAAAACCTGAGAAAGCGATTTTAACATTAAAGACCTTTCCTCTCTTCCTAGCTGCTTGCTGGAGATGTCACGCAAAAGATTTCTTTATATATAGAGGAAGACTAGCAGGCATTGAATGGAAATGGTACGCATGATAGGCATTTATTTGTTTAAATCTGTAACAAAACAGCTTAAAATAGACATCCAGTAGTTGAAACCTTTTCCACATTTTTAAATGCAAAGTTATTCCAATAAAAAGATTTTATTTACATTTCATATTCTAGAAAGGCTGAGTGGCTACAAAAATAAGCGCTATGAGGTAAACACCTTCTACTAACTCCACGCTAAACCCCAACCGGTTTTTACCGAGCTATTAGAATTACACAAACACTATTCAGTTGGTTAGAGTTATAGATGCTTTGAGAATGCAAAAATACCCAAACCCGGAGTAAAACCAACTAGGGTCCACCCACTACCGACAAGTGCACTTGGTAGCTATCATATCTTCATACTCTTTGTAGACTATGGAGCCGTCAGGCTCTATGGTTAGGACGCTCAGTGGGCTGTATTCAGCAGGGTACCATTGTGTGTACAGGAGAGCCATAACGATGCCCGACTACCCTGGGGCAGTCACCTTTGCAATACTGAGGGCTGTACCTGTGTGGTGCTATTATCCATTTGTCCCATTTTAGCTGGCTGAAACTTAGGCGGAAGCTGTGAAGCTCACACTCGTTTTGAGGGAACAGAAATTGTTTGAAATACTCGCTCAAATTATAAGGTGGAGTTGCTGGCACTTCTTTCTGATTCCCATCTCTTCGCTGTCGAGAGGCCCTTTTACCCTGTGGATTCTGTCTTCCTTTGTCACCCGTAGGACCAACGAGCAGACTGTTCCTTTGCC